ATAGACGGCAGCAGGGACATTGTCACTTGGGATGTGACAAAAAAGACTCTGTACAGGCTGAATTGGTTTCATCTGTGGGCAGTGTGGCCAACAGCTTTGTTAATGCATTGTGTAGTACCTGTTTTTATACCTTGGCCACATAAAGGTAGGGGTTTAATGCCATTTTTTGACAACTAGACAATAAAGGAGTTTCTGCAGCTCAAGAGCATCTAGTGTTAGAAGCCTTGGAACGGAGTCCTTGCTGACAGCGAGCTCTTGTTTCTTGAACTCAGAGTCATGTAGGTAAACTGGGTTTATAAATTTCTGTTTAAGCTTTCTTTCCAAGATAATGATGATCACTCAAGCTTTAGAGTTTATGGTGTTCACAGAAGTGAGCAGATTTTTGGAACAAATCTGATCTTTTTTGCAGCAGTAAAACCTCATTTTCCTTTGACCCGTGTAGGTTTTTTCTTGTCCTGAGGGGTTTTTCTCGTAGAGTTCACGCATAGGGGAGATACGAGAGCAGTTGCGTGGGATAGGCGGTGGAAGGGCCAGAGGATGGGGATAGCTGCGCCAGTGCTCTGGGGAAGTACTTAAAAGCATGAAATTCTCAAGGTTCCATATTAAGGAGCTGACTCAGCAGAAAACAAATACAAAAGTAAATTCAAAAAGATGAGCCAGAAAACCTGCAGATACTGTACAGAATAATTCAACTAAATCAGTTCAGTGCAGAGATCTATGGAAACTTTTTTCCCTCCCAAATAAAAGCGTGTGGGAATTTGCATTGCAGTCAGGTATACTTAAAGTGCACATAAGCAATCTAATAAAAATTCCACTGGAGTGTACGTCATACAGCTGTGTTTTATTATATTTGTGCTCTCTTCCTACTGACAGTGCCTTTATAACTGGATTACTCACATATCATCATTAACTCTGACACTCCTGGGTTTTTACTGCTTCCCTGGTTCCTATCATCTTCGGCAAGTTTTATCCCTTCCCTGCAGATGTGCCAAGATGTATTTCTTTAATACCCTTTCAGCAAATGAACGTGGGAGCACATAAAAAGTGTGGCTTGGATGCCATGGGCAGTAACAAGGGCTCTCATCATTTCTACCAAAAATCCCCATCAAACCTCAGCTACATCTGTGTTAAGTTTTCCCTTTGCTCCATCTGTTAGGTATAAAGAAGGGGTGCTGATTATGGTGAAATGGAAACGGCTGAGGTGCAGCGCTGAGCTGCTCATTAATCCTACCTTAGATATTTTGTAGCTATCTCCTTCAGTTGTGCTCCATACCTGCATTTTCATTTTCTATGTATAAACCATGTTCGGAGTGAGCAGCTCTAAGAGTGTGTGTGTGTGTGTGTGGTTTTTGGTTTAGGATTTTTTTTTTTCCTGGTGGCTGAATAACATAAGCTGTTGAATAAGACATGAAGACTTTTTACTTCAGGCCTCAGGAAATTTGATTTTTATTTCTGATCTCCAGCAGCTACTTTGAGCTTGAGTCAGTTCGGCTCACCTTGCTATTGATTATCCCTCCCCACCCCCAATTCTTTGTTGTTCTTGTTTGGATGAAAGTTCTCTGGGGCAGGGACTGTAGCTCACTGAGCATTTATAGAGAACAGAGCACAAAGGGGGCTGGGGCCTCTGTTAAGCTTTTTAACTATTTCTACTTGGTGAAATTAAGTTGAGCTCAAGGGGTACTTAAGCATACCAAGTCAGGTTTCTGTGCACACTGACAGCTTTAGCTGAACTCTGTATCAGTTGATCTCTGAGTATTTTGATTGGGCTTGGGAAGAACGGCTCCCTGGAGTTTCGGTTGTGGACTGGGCTACAGCGTACTGAGCCTCGCTCACTCTCCAGGCGGTCAGATTCCCTGTAGGAACTTGCCCAAGGTGCTCCACGTCCTCCCCGCGTCCCACTGGACACCGCCCGCCAGCGAGCCGAGCCGGCGCTGCCCTGGGAAGGGGGCTGCTGGCAGGTGGGGCGGGATGTGGAAATCGCTTATAACCAGTCGATCGACCAGTCAGGTACTTCCCTGTAGGACTTCCTGCATTATAGAAAATGTATTTTAATCACAGCAATAACTTGACAGCCAGTATATGCAAGAACATTTCCTCCAGTGCTGTTCTCTTCACGCAGTTTACAGTGAGAATGTAGAAGGAGAAAATCCTGTGTTGATAATGAATCAGTGCAGTGACAATGTGAGTGTGCTTTTGGTTTTGGAGGTACTCCAAAGTAATTGACTGAGTAGGTGCGCATCTGATTCATAGTATTTTGGTTCTTATATTAAGTAAATTGAAATTATTCTGGCAGAGTAACTAGAATCTCAAAACCCAGCTACCCCCTTAATCATAAACACAAGAGAGATCGACTGGTCTTTCCTACCGGTATGTGTTGTTGCACTCAGTTCCTTGGTGATAGAGTATAGGGTGATGTTTTCAGCTTCTGCTATGTAGACTTATCAATCCAAATCTGGTTTTCTATTTTGTTTCTGTAACGGAAATAGCATGAAGAGTCAGTCACTCTGAGAAGTGACACCAGGAGAGGTGGCTCAACTCTTCAGCGCAAAGCTCTGCTCTAGACATAGCCAGGTTCCTCGAATGGTCACAAGTGCTGTGTGATTTCGTATCACATGCTAGGCAATAAGAATTTCTGTGGATCTACATCCTCAAAACAGACTAAACAGTTCTTCATTAACTCTTGTTTAATTGTTGAACAAGCAATGCTGAAGAATTTGCTTAATTTTCCCTGTTTCCACTACCTCTACTCTGCCCCGCACTTTGCCGAGCAGTCGTCCTGCTCGGGGCGGTGGGTGCAGATGGGCGTTCTGGGTGATGCGCTGGTGAAGGGAAGAGGTGGCGATGACCTTTGCATGAACTGCAGCTGCATCGGCAGAGGCAGGTTGCCCAAAGAAAGGCTATAAAAATCCAGAAAAAGTGAGAAATTGGAGTGAAAGAAAAGCTTTTTATGAGTGTTTTGAACATCTCAATTTCTTGCTGCCCAGTAAGAAACTCTGACAGGCACCTGACTTAATGCCTTTGGAAAATACGGCTCTTCTCAGTATGTCCTGGCTGTCTGTTTAGACTCACAAATCACTTCTGAACCACCTAATTTACACTGTCAAATTAAACTGGCATCCTTGATACACAGCTGTAGCTGGCAAATTAGAAGTTTTGGAGGTTTTTTGTGTGATTTTTGGTTTTATATATAAGCCAGTTAGAGAAAGAAACGAGAAAAAAAAAAAAGATAGCAATTTTGTGGGTGTTTCCAAGCTTTGCCAAAATTTACCCATGGCTCCATGGGGATCTGTGAGAGTCATCCCGAGCACACAGCTCCCATCTGAAAGTCTTGACTGAGTTCAGGACAGTGGAGGAGGCAAATGAAATACATGTTTTTTTGCTTTGTGTGTTTGTGCTTGTAATCTAGGTCAGCTAAATGAAAGCTCCTAGAATACAGAGTAGCCAGAGAAATTTGGGATAGCTGAGAAGAGATAGTCCAAGAATAAGGAAGGTGTCCAATAGGACTGGAGAGCTGGATTCCGGCATTGGAGCTTTCCATATGCGAGGCCAAGCCTTATTTCCAAGTTAGCCTCAGCTAACTTCAGAAAGAAACTAAAACAAACAAGATTTATTCCTAGATTCTTTAGAAAACTCTAGAAAGGCCGTGTCCATCTTACCTGAGTTGGCAACCGGCACTAACTCAGGGGTGGGTCTGGTCAGTCTCTAATGGCAAAACCACAGCCTGTCCCGGTGGGGGAATCGTCGTTCCCCTCGGGGAAGGGCTGCTTTGGGCAAACCTGGCCCTTCACCAGGACGGGTTTAGCACTGGGTGTCGAGTCCAATTGAAGCTGCTTTCAGGGTCTGGAAAAATCTGTGTCTTGTCTTTGTCTCCTTGCATAGTAATTTTGAAGTGTTGTTTTATCAGTGTAGGATCTGTGTCCATTAGAATTTGAGTTAATTTACTGATTTGCAGTAGAATGGTAAATTAAGTTGAAGTTTTTCCCTGTGTTCCTAATTGAAGGAATTCTATTTCAAGTTAGGAAAATGAGCTGGTGAATTCTTTAAAAAGCCAGGAGTGTGGCTCCTGCCCCTTGTGATATGAGAACATCTTCCTTTCTTTAAAGCCATTTTGCTCCAAAATGGGGTATTTCCAAAGATACTAAAAATTTCAGAGAAAATATCAGTGTGATGTGCTGACAGAAACACAGCTGGTCCTTCCTGAAAGTAGCTGGCAAACTGCTCTAGACCTATTTTTTTGTTACAAAAACTGTGGAACAAAGTTACAGTGTATTGTTTATCAGAGAACTTTGAGAGATTTGTCAGCTGTATACTTTGCCTACAGAAGATAACTGTCAATAAAGTTATTTGAACTTTTGTTTTTAATTTTAGAAACCAAAACCATAGTAACAGATGGACAAGTGAAAGGATGTGGATATGAATTGTATTTGGGGCCACAAGATCTTTTTACAAGTGAAAGATCTGGACCTGCATTTAGACTTAAAACCTTATTGATTCCACTTGGTACCAAAAATGGGTGGAACCACCCTTTTGCTGCGAGTCCTGGGGGCAGGAGTTACTGGTGCAGTTGCATCCCGTTCCAGCCGTAATCTCTGTCTGCTCGTGATCTCCAGGAATTGCCTGTGCATTGGTTCGGAATTTTTGGAGATGTCCGTGGGCCAATTCACCTACGGTCCTGCAGACAGTGTTCTTTGTATACATTCAAAGTAATTGTGTCAGAAGACGTTATATACAATGTGCATGAAGCTAACTGATAACACTTTGTCATCATTTTATTACTCACTTGAATTTTTTCCAAGGTAAGTTTTTGTCATCAAGCTGTTATAGGAACCCTTTGCTCCAAAACCAAGCCTGTCCCCGCAACCCTTCCTGGGCTGTTGGGGCTTGTACATGTCTCTTCATTTCCAGCAAATGTGCTGACTGTTTTGTTTTGTTTTGTTTTTTAAAAATTTTCTCCCTGTTGGGAGCAGGAGAATGACCTCATCTCTCATCTCTCCATACAGGATGCTGCGTACGCCGCTGTTTATCCACGAGCTCATTGCTGAACATGAGGCTTCAGTCTTCCAGCCTGTAGTTCCAGCACCGCTTGTGAGCCAAGGTCCCGCAGGTTCATTCACGTGAAAGACGAGGGCGAGAACGGCTGGATCCCTTTGGAGTCTCTCGTACCTTGGAAAAGGGACCTTACAGCTCCCTGTGCTCCTTTTGCCACCACCGGGGCGGGGGAGGAGGAAGAGAGCCAGTGGACGGGCGCTCTGCTGGGGCACGTTGGAAGGGAACTGCTTGAGCTTCATATGGGCAGGCCAGGAGCCTCCAACAGCTTCCACCTTCCAGAGAAAGAGGCACCAGCTCAGCCTGGATTTGCCCACTGTTGATACCCAGCTGGTAGAAACAGGAAGCAAACCAACCCCTTAGAAAGCAAGGCTGCAATGACTCACAAATCTAAAGTAGAGATTTTTTTTTTTTTTAAGCTGTTCAATCATTCTCTGGCTTTTCCACTGTTTTACAAGGGCATGTTAAGAAATGTACCAGAGCTGTGGAAATTCTGCAGCCATTTCTCAGAAAACCATGAGAGAATTACTTTAACATATGTTTCCATCTTCTGCTTTTTGCATTTTTCCCCTCTTGTATTTCTTTTTCTTTGACCTGGTACAAACTTGTGTATGCTTACAGTTCTCACTATTCAAAAGAAATTTCACTCCATTGTTAGAATTTCCCCATGAAGTGGTATGCATAGTTTTTAATTAAATTCCATTCTCCTGACAATATTGTCAGGTGCAGACCTGAAAAGGATCCTCTGTTCAACTGATGCGGTAGAGAGGCTCGTTACTAGGCTGTCAGGGAAGCAACATGAACATGAGGCTGCTTTAACTCTCAGCCTCAGGTTGTTGATGTGCCTCCACACATTTAAGGGGATAGGGCAGATTTTTTGGCTTTGGCCTGCCAGAAAAGATAAAAACATGACAGGAAACCCGAGCTTCTCTCCAGCATGTGAGAGAATTTAATGCTACTTCCACCTCTGGACAAATGGGATTTGTTATGAGTTGGGGGGGGTCGTGTCTGTTTGAGGATGAGTTTGTGGCTGTGTTACGTGATCTCAAAATGAGCTTGGTGCACAAGCTAGCAGGGCTTCGACGCTTTATAAATGAGGGCCTGGGACATACGTGCAATAAATACACCAAGTGTAGCATTAGCGCATCATCACAACTGCTCGGTTCCACGGGTGCAGTGGAGTTTCTGTGGGTTTGTGGTGTTTAACTTTTAAGTCTTGACTTTTGAGCCAGAGGCACTTTGTGCTTCTGCAGATGCCTGGACGGTCTCTGAGCTTTGCCTGTTCAGAAGAATTAGGCCACAGCTGCAAGCACAGAAAACTCAAAAACCATACCGGAGTGAGTTATTTTTTTCTGGACAAACAATTTTATTTTAGGTAATGCGTCTATACACTGTACATTCAGTCACTGTGGTATATAAGCATAGCTATTTTCATACATAATCTCATAAAGTCCTTTATTTTACAATATTATCTGCTTCAGGGGGAGGGGATGTGGAAAAGGGGGTGGAAAAGGACTATCAAGGTACACAGCGAAATAGATAAATATGCCAAGCTTTTTTCTTATTTTTTTTTTAAATCAGGCATTTATAAACAAGAAAGCATACATTACTTACATAAAAATAGTTCTAGAATAGTAGAGTAAGTCATAATATTGTCATTAGCAGCAGCATAGGAGAGACCAGGATAACAAAAATGTGCTGAAATGCTATTGGCTATTATAAATGTAAAGATTTATTTTTCTTCAATTGAAAAAATGTCATTTCTGTGAGTTCTTTTTGATTTAAAAAACAAAACAAAACAAAACCCAAAACAAAACAACCAAACCAACAAAAAACTTCTCTCTAAAACACATGGACTGATGAGAGGGCAGAATGGAAAGAAAATCAACCTTTTGGTAATAAAATACTTTACAGTGAAAATAAGGACAAAAAAATGCAAATGATGGAGAAAGGTTAACCCACATTTAAAACTTGCAAAAAGATTTTGTTTTGTTTTTTTCCTAACAGACAGCAAAGGTTCTTCTTAGTTAAAAACACAACTCATAAAACAAGACAACTACCAGGTAAGAAAGAGTTTTGAAAAAGTAAACACCATATACACTTATAATACAACAGTGTAAAATGAAAAAAAGTATTTACATGTTGAATTTACTTTTAACTTTTTTTTTCTTTACATTGGCTAGTTCTGTTTGAAAAGCAGAATATTATGTATACTAGTTAGCTGCTCCATAGATATGAATGTTATTGCTGTTGTTTTTTTTTTTTCCCTTCGTTAAGTCTTCTTTCAGTAATAGAAACAATGAGTAATTAAACTGAATATACAAGTACTAAGTAATATATTTTTAAGTACAGGGAGAGTCAACAGCCTGTATGAAACACCTCTTCTCCCTTTTAACTTCTTAAAGGAAACTAAAGCGCAGATGAAATGGGAAGAGGCGAGGTTCCCGCTCCCGCGCTGGGGGGCCGGGGAGCAGCAGGGGCACCCGCGCGGGCGGCTGGGGGGTGACGTGCTGCACGCACAGAAATTACACACAGAACTCCCTCACCTTCAGCACCTTCACAACGGGGTGGTTTTCCCCTGAAGATTCCCACTGTTTTGACAGCCATTTTCTAGAATTAGTGTCCCTGTGGCCATCTTGTGACAACTTTAAAATTACATGTGGAGGAATTTTGAATTAGAAATTATGTATTCTGCAGAAATAAAGATTATCTTGTTAAAATGTATTTAGGAAAGACACAATTATTGAAGATAAGACTACTATCCTGTAAACCTCTCCTGTTGATTAACTGCTGGTATAGAACGTTTGTTCCCAGTCTTCTTGCACCTTATTTAGTCTTACTGATTTTAAGCCTTAATTTATAGAAATATTTTTACTAGGAAGTTTTTCCCTCCCAAGGCTCAAATATGATCGAGTCTTAACCTCAGACATTGTCAAGTTCATTTGTCATATACGACACGTCACAATGACCACAGTGTGTGGCAAATGAAGCCAGGGCTTTGTTACAACAGTTGTAACTATTTTGGAGACTTCTTTCTAAAGAATCTCATCCCACTGGTGTGTGAGGCACAGGTGTTGCTGGTTGGTTGACAAGGCTATTTATTGTTGATAACACTATTTACTGTTCTGTTTTTCCTTGGGAAAAAAATAATGCAGATTTCATTAATTTTGGAGGATAAAAGCATCCCATGCACCAAAGAAATTGTGCCAGTGCATCAGTTTGCTTCCCCAGGCACCCAAGAAAGAAAAGCTGTGGTGTGCCACAGCTAAGTGCCCTGCTCCTCCTGTGAAAAACCAGAGGGAGCCACGGTGCCGCCTTCTGCTGCATCGTAAGGGGACAGACACCATCCAAGATGGGGGGACAAAGCCCCAAACAACACGTGAAAAAGCTTTGAAGCAGCTTATGGGGGGTGGGGATACAGTTGTTCTCTGTGTAATTTCTTACCATGGCAGTAAAGCATAGCTTGAGACTTTGAAATGCACAATGATCAACTACAGCTAAAATTATTTAGTTTCCCTTGAAGAAATAAGTGAATAATACAGATCTGGAAATCATAAGGCTGAGAACATTTTTATGCATACTGCGTAACAAAACAAACCCTTTACATAAGACAGTAATAATGCCCATTAATGAATATACGTATGGCAGAGATTTTAATTCCATGCATATGATTTAATAATCGCAGAAAAAACATACAAAGAAGCAAAAAAAAAAAAAACAAACCCCACATTAAAAAAAACCTGCTTAAGCATAATCAAAATTCCTTTTGCATTGCACTTTAGAAGGAGATCTGCACCTAGCCTCAGTCTCCAGCATCCCACACGCACAGGGCCAACCCCTGCATCCCCCCACAGCTTCGTGTCCTTTGCCTGATGTCACTGGTTCTTGCTCCCAACACTTTTACATTGTCCCAGTAATTTTACTCCGTTCATATTTCTTCTTTTTGTACCTAAAACATATATATGAACTTCTTTGTTAATGCTCACAGTTATTATAATGATTATAATGGTTTCAAGCAAACAGCTCTTGTTTTGTTTTAAAAAAAAAAAAAATAATCTCTAATGTACTGAAAGTAAATACTATAATTTTAGGATTGAAAGCCGCTTTTTGTCTACCGGAAAATAATTTTCAAGCTTACATAGTTTGTATTAATGTCCAAAAGCAAATAAGATTACTGGAAATATGTTCCTTTGTTTAGAGTAACTTCTGTGTAGGATGATGCATAGGGTTTTATTTTTTAATATTTTTTTATTTTTTATTCCTTAAGGTAAAAAAGTGTCAGCATTGCCTATGTAAGATGCTGAGAGGAAAAATGAGCTGGAAGGCACATCTGCAGCCCCAGGTCAAATTTTCACTTCGTGCTGATAAACTTGAGTGTGCAAGAGGTGAGTGTTTGTGGGTGAAAAGAACTTTTCTCTTGTTCAGTAAAGCACCAACTGTATTTGTTAAGCACGGCCGGGAGCAGCTCTACTGCTTCCCACCGCCGGCGGTGGTACAGAGCCAGGCAGAACGGGTTTGGAACCCCACACACGTTCTCTACCTGCGGAATCCTCAGTCTGCAAAAACGTCACCGATGCTGTGAGTGTCAGATGGTGGAAAATCACGTTGCTGATTTTCACATCTGTCCAGCAGGGGAGAATCTAGAATGCTCAACTTGTAAACTTTAGAAATATGGAATAAAATGCAGAGTAAGATTTTGACAAAGTGCAGTTTTTAAAAAAAAACAAATCAACAACAACACCAACAGTAAGACAAAGTGATGGCATGCTGCATTTTTATTCCGGGGCTGCGGCTTGGATCCCAAAATTAAAGTAATTTCTCTTTTTGAAAACAAAAAAGTTTCTTTTTTTTTTTTTTTTTCCAAATGTAGGCTTATTCACAGCAGCAAAAATGTTGTTTTTCTTTTCTGTAGTATCCGATAATGCGATGTTACGCTCTCCTTGGGCACAGAAATCCTGACCGACAGTTCATAATAAAAGCAGGTAAATACTGAATTTATGGTAAGATGGTGCAACAAAGATGAGTTTTCCAGAAAACTGAAAGCTGAAGATTTCAGAATGACTTTGAAACGCATGTGTCTTCTGCTTTATTTCTCAACCGACTTAACGGATCCTCCATTTCCTTCTTTCTTTTCCTAAAGCTGAAGTGCTCTTGGATGAAGTGAGTCTTTTGAACACATCGATTGATGAAGATGTCTTTAGAAAAGATGGCGTGGTTTGCAAACAGGGCAGGCTGTAAGGCTGGGTTTGTAATCCTAAAGCATACCTCTCCCCCTCCCCCCACCCCTTCATGATCCTGCATCTTCCTTTCTTCTTGTGTTCAGGACAGGAAATGAAGATAATTCTTGCTAAGGAAAAATCAACTTTGAAAAGTACTCTGAAATTCTCCTACAACCACGTGACGGGTTTAAAACTGCGATGGCTTCCTAGATGGCTGGAAAACTGCTAATGAAATGGCATCATCACCAGCGGGCTTCGACGTTAAGAATCCCAGCGCCTATAACAAGTCATTAAAAATTGTGCATCGAAGGTTTCTTTTGTTTTGCTTTTAAAGGTTCATTATAAAAATCTTGTGGATTTTTTAATACCAAGTCTGTGTAATGAATTATTTTAAATAGCTTATAAGAAAAGTTTGTTTTTAAATTCCAAAATGTCCCAACAGGCAGAAGGGCAACATAAAAACATGGCCATGCTTGCCTTTGACTCTGATTTTAGTTGGAGGATGCTGCTTGCTTGGAGTTTGCCAGTAGAAAATTTGCTGTGGACTTAAAAGTATTTTGTTTATAAACACTTTGTGTTTTATAGGCACAGTAAGATGTTGTGCTATATGGATTGGGAAAAAAGAGGCGTAATTCAGTGCTTCTGTTATAGAGAGTAACATTTGCCTTCCAACTACTAAGAATCCATATTCATAGGTGTGTGTGCCCAGACACAACTACTCACACATGCACTTACACACGTACCCCACACGTCCTCCCTTACTGTGCACCTCTCACCCCAGCTGTGGCGGGCAGCAGGTTAGTTCTCCAGGTGGCTTGCTGTGTTTTCACTGCTGGGCTGGCTGCTTGATTTAGGCCACAGTTGTTCCTGAAGTTCCTTGACTACTTTTTCCAAGTGTTCCCGAGCCTCCCTTTCATGCATCAGGTCAGCTCGGAGCTGCTCCCTGTCAGCTTCTGCATGCTGAAGCTTAACCTGTAGGTCCTCAATCTAGAGAAAAGCATATTAAGAAACACAATAAACTATTTCAGCATTTCTGTTTCAGTGTGGTTTTGTAGACTTTAACACAGACTAGTACCTTAGCACAAAGTGAGAAGAGTAATAAGACCATCTATTTCCTGACATAAAATTATCCAAGTTGGGGTGAGGAAGGAATTCCCTTCTCCCTGCTTTTTTTCCATATACTACTGTACAATTCTGCAGGTGCACTGCATGGACAGCTTAGCCTTGAAACTGTTAAATATTTCTGGTGGCTTCAGTTCTAGAAAGGAGGGTGAGAAACAGAATAGTTAAGAGTGCCTTGGCCTAACAGAACTCTGCTCACTGTACTTCTGAACCCACTGCTGTTATTTCTTTAAGCAGACAGGAATTCAGCAAAGTAACCTACAAGGTGCTTTAGTTTCAGGCCCTTTACAAGGGTTACTAACAGGAGTGACCAGACCCACCCGCAGCTGCCTCTGTAAAGGGTCCAGGTCTCAGCAGTAGATTGATGTCCAACAAAAGCAACTGTAGCAGTGTCATCCTAGAACCATTCCATCCTTCCTGCCACAGGTAAGATGGGCAGGGAGGGGGGCAAGGGGCTTGTGAAGAGGGAGGCCTTGGAACCAGCTGTGACAATTAGCACCATTTTAACTCCTAATGAAGCAGCTGGACCGCAGAGGGCAGGAACAGGACTGAACAGCTCCTACTGTCTAGTGACAGCACAGAAATGGAGCCAAGGAAATACACATTCCTAACGGCCCCAGAAGAGATCACGGCTGAGATCAAATCGGTGTCTTCCCCCTCCCAGTGTGCCGCACAGCTGGCCTCAGCCTCCCCAGGCCCCATTCCTATTCGCTACTTACTGATAGCAAAGGCAGAGAGAAAAGCCCCAGTAGCTGAGGGTGTAAACATTAGAAAAACTGCACCGGTCTGAAATACGCAATTTTAAGCCACAAATCGGTAAGATTAGCAGTTACCAGAGATTGCCATTTAATGAAGAAAAAGGCAAATACTCCTGTTTTGGGCTAAAACGAAGGCTAACTCACTGCCCAAGGTAAGAAAAAAGAAAGTCATAAACCGCACCGGTATTCACTAGGTATTAAGCAACTAATACTTTAAGCTTACACAAAGACATTTACACCCCTGAATGTGTTGTCTTATTTCCGCTCATGGTTGCCTAATGCTATTTCTCTCAGCCTAAGCCTGTCTAGAGAATTGTGGTTTCCTCAAAAATAATAAGTGATGAACACAGCGTAAGCGACAAACTTCCTGTGTGCTCTCCAAATTAAAGATAAAAGGATGTCTAGAGCTCTCTTAAACTTACATGACTTAAGAACTTAAGTCATATCGACATCTTGTAAAATTCAGGCTTTGAAGTTACTTAAAGTATTTCTCCATTAAGTGCACGCAGCAATCTGAGGTAGGCGCTGGATAAAGCAGCTCTTCCAGACCCCAGACATCAGCCACCACACATGCCGTTGCCTGAGCACAGCACGAACTTGGCTGCACAGCAGCAGGGCCCCACTGCAGGACCCTGCAGGTGATACTGCACCCGTGTATCTGCATCCTTAGAAAAAGCTGCAGAATATTCAGCTACTTGCATCCTTTTTGAGGTGATTTTAGCCTTTTGTATTAGGAGACCTCATCTATTCCAAGGCAGGAGTGCAGTCGGAGGCTGAAATTCCAGCCTGTCAAAACCCTGTGTGCACCTGCAGCCCCACAGAGCTCAGTGGGGCACCGCTGGCATTTACTTTTCTCTGCACTTGCTGTCCTCTTGGTTTTTTTTTTTTTTTGCTCAGTGGAAGTCAACTGCTGGTAACACCCAGCGCAGCCGCTCTCAATCTGGTCATGTTTAGTCTGGACACCTCTTATCAGCGAGACATCCTGTGATGGTAGAGAGGAAGCCCACATCATTTCCTGCTTCTGGGCTCCTGGTTAGCCACGTCGGAGTGGTACAAGTGGACCACTCCCCTTCCCGTTATTGAGAGCCTGGGCTCCGAAACATTTCTGATTGCTCTGGCTTTTTCTTTTCCTTCCCCCCACCCCCTCCCTTTAAAGTGACCACACCAAGTATTTGCAGCTCCTATTTCAGGCACAGCATGTGTGTTTAACAACATGCACAGCACAGAAGTTGCTGCACTAGACATGGTGTAGAAGAGATCCCTTTCAGGTATGTTACAACGTGCAAAGTCATCTTGCGAATGTGACACCTACATGGCATTTGCCTGTAAGCGACAGATCTCTGCTGGAGTAGTTTAAGTTTAGGCTAGTGTGACCCGTTTTGCAGAGCCCTTCTGTTGCCAACGCCTGCTGACCCTTGCCTTTTATTTACTCCTTTCTCAGCCAGGCTCTTGGCATGGGAAGCGGCGCCCGGGCCAGGCAGAGGCACGGGGGTGGGGGTGGGTGGGAGCAAGGCCCCAGGGAGGCGGCTGCGGTGAGGAAAGGAGCTGGCCTGAAGGAGAGGGGCCGCTTGAGGGGGTTAACACTGGGTGTGGGACCACGGCCTGTCATAGGAAATGCAGTACTGGGCAACTGGGATTGTTTTACTGGAGGAAGGGGAAGGCAGGGCAGGCAATGGATTCCTCTTCAGGGCTGTTTCTCACAGAAATCCAGGAGGCTGCCGTTCTGCTCTCAGCTCAGCCTCTTATCCTGGGTCATTTCAGGGGGCTTGGAACAGTGGATGGCCTTGCATTCCACATGCCCTGCAACACCAAGACACAACAAGGCGACTTAAGGATGTGCAGCCCGAGCTCTTGGTTCGCTTGGCTTTGGGTGGGTTGAATAAACTAACAAAGAATCTGATGCCGAGAAGGCGTGGAGAGATTTTTAGGTCGAAAGCTTAAAGGCTACACGTTGCTTGTAACAACATGTTCCTGCATTCCTAGAACTTTCACAGAGATCAAACTGGAAGTCTTTTCTTAGACCTGCCAGTTTGCGACTCTTGTGCTTTGTAACTGCAAACATCACTCCTTCCCAGCACTGCGGTTTGCTTATTGATGGGCCTTGGTTGCCTCCCTTGTCTTAAATAGTTCCTGTAGGTTTAGCCTGATCTTCAAGGAAAAATACTATTCGAGAAAGCGGCTCTACCTAATATTTGCAGTACTGAACTGGACCCCTACGCACTGGCAGTGCCAACAGAGCGTTAGTGGAACTGCAATAATGTCCAGCCTTTGGCTGACTTCTCTGTAAATGGTGATTTTCAACTGCCGGCTGCGCGCAGCTCGAGGCAGAACTGTGGGCCCGACAGAGGCGGTGGGAGCACAGGCAAACGGGGAACACCTTGCTCTGACACAGTGGGGGCAGAGGCAGCGGATGGACGGGAGCTGGACTCGTGTCAAGGGAGACAAAGCGAGGCCACTGGCGCTGCAGGGCACAGACCCTGAACTGACCCCCAAACCGGCAGAAATCGGAAGCGCTCTCGCTGTTAGAGCTTTCCGTGTTTGGGTCTTACCTGGGCCGAGTACTTGGCCCGCAGCCTGCCGGCTTCGCAGCCCTTGTCACACACCCGGATCTGCCTGGCTTGTTCCAGTTCCCTCTTCAGTCGTATCCGAGACTCATTGGCTTCCTTCATCTTCTTCTCATTCTCAGCTCTCAGACGTTCAATCTCTTTCCTTAAGTTGCGCTTTGCCTCTGTTGCTTCTCTCAGTTTCTCCTTCTTAGCCACTCTTAGGAACTCCAACTCCTAGAATAAAAGAGCAGTTAACTTGTGAGAACTGAGGAGCAGAGACTGAATTAGTGCAAAGAGACCGAACTGTAGAGGAAGTGATCCAAACTAAACTCTCACCTTCTGCTGGTTATGACCAAGGCGGCTCATGTCTAAACCTCATTCTGAACTTTGTACGAGCTCTTCTCCTTTAAATCAACATGAGATCCTGCACTCAAGATACCCTGAATTCTTGGATAATAAAAAGCTATACGCTACAGCCACATTTTGCTTTGTCAAGCAAAATAGCTGTGACCATCTGTGACTGAATAAAGATGAACTGCAGTTGGAGAGAGCTACGAGCAACGTGCTCTACACTAGCTCGAAGTTTCAAACCAACTGTAATGCCTGCACTTTAACTGAAGACACTGAAGATACACAACGTTATGATAAACGCACTTTGTGAATTCCCTTTGTGTGTCCAGCAGAGCCGAACAAGGAAATTTACTACGTGCTGAATAAATGAGTAAGCTCATTTTATGAAGCCCCCCCCCCCAATCCACTTAAGACAAGAAAGAGACAAACTGAATAGTGTATCTTCTCTCTAACTTGGCAATTTTGTTTTGCTATCAGTAACTGGTGTGAAGCCCCAAGTCTCTTGGCAGCCAGCCAAGGGACTGCTCTGACAACATCTGGAAAACTCCAGGCTGAAACCTTACCCTAAATTGAAACCATGCTTCGCTCTGGAAATTGCCACTTTCACTGTCCAGGTTCTTAAATAGGAGCTGCTACCTTGAAATCTCAAATGCAAGAGAGCGCCATTAATCGAAGTGACAATGATAAGGAACCCAAAAGGTACAAAGGTGTTAAAAAGCTGCTGTTAAAAGACATGTTCATCATAAGCACAAAAATGTGGCTCGCCAAAGGTCTGTCTCCTAAATGGTTAAATTAGAAACTAAAGTTCAATTCCCCCCCCACCCCCCACCCCCCGAAGCAGCATTTCCTCTCTGTCAGAGTCAAACCCTCACAGCAACATGTTTCTGTTAAGTAACACCGCAGCCGGGTCATGGGAAATTCACTCTTTTGACAATCTCACTTCCCAGCCAGGCCATTGTTAGCTCAGCCTCGCCGCCCTGGAAGCGCGCACATGCACTTTCCCTGCCCGTGGAACTGGAAACCCGCAGCTGCCCGAAAGGAAAACCATGGCCAGAAACTGTATTCCCTCTAACTCTGACATGCTGCTTGATTTAATGCCTCAACACTCCATTCTGCTTCATCAACGACTTCACGTAATTCCTGCTTTACTTTAAGTACACGCTATGTATTTGGTTTAGATATTTAAAAATTAGCTTTAAATATATATTACTTCTCAATATTTGCTTTTAAAAACATAAAACATACATTTACTGAAACACAAGGGAATGAAGTGATTTGCTCAAGGTGACAAAGAACAAGCAGTTCAGCTGAAAAGGCAGCTCTGGGCCTCCCTTCTCTGGGGCCTGGAGCTGCAGCTGGTACCCACCGAGCCACCTCCACACGAGAGGAACGCAGCACAGCATCAGGCTCGCTGTACTGCAGCTCTTGCAGAAATCTGAGTTGGCAAACTTTTGTTAAAATTCTAATTGCGATTGTATCTACACACTTACACAGTCTCTCTTTCACCTCCTCCTGCCTGCTAGTAGAATACTTGCATCTACTAGTGGGGGTTTGGGGACTGGGTTTTTGGGGTGTTTTTTTAACAGCAGACACAAATCACATCTGTGAGCTACTGTCCTTTGTTTCATTCCCCAGAGAAACAAAACGCCTTGTGCCAGCTAACAGGGCTGTGTACCTGCTTTTGACCAGCCGTGCAAGTACAGGGTTTCTACCCCCAGTGCTGGATGAAACAAGGCCCGCATTTTACAGTCGGTGCCCCAGATGCATCTAAGGGATCGCACTTCCAGTTTGGTTATGGCTCCACATAAAATACTCAAAAGCGGACAGGCAAATCTTCCTCACTGGCTCTATCTTCCATTTCTTTGTGCTGCTTTTGCTCCAGCTCAAACAATAAAAGGAGTTCGCCCACTGTTCTGTTCAGCCACTGGGATTTGCTCATGGCCAGTACTTAATGGCAGCTTTTTTTTGTCTGTCCTCTCTCTCTCTGATATGACCGACGTACCGAGGATTCCCAGAAATAAGGAGCTTCTTCACTGAATGAGGCAAGGAACTTTGAAGCATGGCTAACGCAATGCTGAAGAAAGAGCTGTAGTTCAGCTCATCAGCAGAGATTCAGCAAGTGTCTCCGTGTCCCAGGAACACCCTCCCTCAGCTGGGCAACAAATCTTTTAAAACTACAAATAAAGCCTCGGTAAGGACAGAAATGTTTCTAGTTCAGTGACATGAAAACAAAATAAACTCTGCTGGACTAGGAGATTTTTTCAGTAATGAAAAAATGTTGACTTTGGTAACCATGGATTTATACCCCAAGGCAAAAACAGGTGGCAAGCTTAAAAATGTAGGACTGGTTCCCGTATGCTTTGGTTTCCCGGATGAATTTACAAACAGTACCCCAGTAAAGGCTGTTGCTATTTGGGAAAAATGAGGCAATTCTTTTTTACATCAGACTACCTAATGGTTTCTACCTGGAAGAGCATTTGCAGACAGTGTGAGAGAAAGCTGTTTTTCAACATTACCTGATGCAGACTGCGTTTGGCTTGCAAGGCAGCATTTAGCTTCTCTTCCTGCTTCACTCTCATTTTAACAACTTCATGGAGGAATTTTTCTTTGGCTTCTTTTGTATCTAGGCCACTGTCCAGGGCCTGCCTTAGGTGCTCCAGCTCAGCCTCCAACCCGCTGCTGTGAGAGTCAGAATGTGTTGCAACCTCATATGAACTGTTGACTGTGACTGGGGCTTGCATCCCAGGTGAGCTCATGTCCTTTGCAGAGCTGGATGAAGTAAAGGATGGGGAGGAGAGCGAGGATAAGGAGGAGGTGACTGAAAAATAGAAACATTGAAAATTAATAAAAAAATGTCTAAAACTAATAGAACTCAAAATATGCTGAGGCCCTTTTCTACAGAGGAGATACTCAATATTCAATGAAAAAAAATGGAAGAAAGATAATACTTGTCTTATACTTTGATACTTGAAATGGGATGAAAGTGCAAACCTGACTGACTTAAGGGAGCAGCTTACAATTTGCTCGACTTGTGACTTTGGAATTTATGTCACAGTGTTTTCTCCATGGGTTTCTTCAGGGAAACCTACAGTATCCTGCTGTTTTCAGTCAGTAAAGTTTCTTCTTTTTGCATAAACTGCATGCACTGAGAAAGGGCAGCAGCGGATTTAACCAAGTGGCATTAATGAGGTGATACCGGTGTCCATCTTCCTCTTTCGCTGAGATGCCCAACTTCCGAACACCGTTTAAGAACATACTGGCTCTTGACCTCTGCTTTATGTATGCAGCTCCACAGACGCCATACTGAAACTGGGTGACCACAGTCTGCCTTTGACACAAAATTCCACACTTGCAAATGTGCATGCTCTGGCGTTTTTACGGGCTATCTGTGTGTATCCCACAAAGGCTTTTATTGAAGGCTCTCCATCAGAGAGCAAACCCTCGGTTTTTATGTGACCACTGCGCACATTTTGTCCTCTGCACAATGTTTACCTCCTTTAAGACTCCAGGTTAGTGGACACATGTGGTTCAGGTGGTTCTTTTTGCTGATGCGTGTTCCTCTCCCAGGAAGATAGCCCAACCCTTCACCCCCCCAGCCAGCTTCTGTTCCATTCTTAGTTTTCATTATTACTTAAGGTTGCATTTTTACATCCCGTTGAGGTATTAGACTTCCAGAATTATATTTAAACACAACAAAAGTTGAACAGCCAAATCCTGTGGATTACGAAGGAAAATCCAGCACAAATAAACCAAAATAAAGGCAGATACAGCTGTCACTTACACTCTTCCCTGGTTTCTACTTCAATTTCTGCTTCTGATTCCTTATCCTCTTCAGTGGCAGTAACAGTGGCTGCAACAGTGGCGGCTGCTTCTGGGATAGCTGTGTTCTCTGCAGCAAGTTTTCTTTTCCGTGGCTGGACAGTGCTGCTCAGTGGCTCACTGCTCCGTGATACTACTGTGGCACAGGGCGGGTTGCTCACAATTTTCTGTTGGGCTGGAGGCGCCAGTGCCACATTGGGGGCCACAGCATTCTCAAAGCTTTTGTAGGAGTAAAAACTGTTTCAGAGCAGGAGACAAAAGGAAGGAGACAACAGTCACATTCTTGGCTTTAAAATGCTTCCCAATCCATGTGTTGCACTGAAACTGCAAGACACTGCAATGATAGTGAAGTTCCATTGATTTACACCAGCTAAGAATCTGCCTCTATATTTGCTTAGTGTTTTGCACTCATTTAAACATGGAGATGATTTATACAGCTCATCTCCATCCAGTTCAGAAGGGACCATATTCAAGTGCCACATAGTCTAATAGCACCAAAGAGATGAGATATCCCAGAGTCTAAAAATTATAATGTTTCCTCATGATCTTCATGCACTATTGTTTTACTGAACTGCGTAGTTTTACTTCTGTCTATCCACAAATGTTTTGTAAACTTGGAAAAGGCACTTCCTTAAGAAAGGCCACCGGAGTGCAAAAAAATATATTCTTGCCTATCCGTAATTTTTTGACACAGCATGCATCTGAGTGCATGTATATAAAAACACAGTTAAAAACCCCAACAAAGCACAGTTAAAGGACATTAATACTGTAACATCAAATGCATAGAATTTTGCTAAAAACATGGCAAAGACTGTCTTTGTACCTTCAATTCAGCATCTACTATATGATGTATCTTCAGTTATATATCAAAAATTTCTCCTGAACCTGCTGAAGGTGGGTTTTTTCCCAAGATTTAAACTGGCCGAATTTCTCACAGAGGTACAAAGGGCATACTCTTACACCCATTTAGCCCTTCTCTCCCTACCCAATTTAAAAGTCTAAGTCTGTTTAAAAGCAAGGATATGCTGGTAGGGTTTTTTTCCTTTTCTTTTCCTTTTTTGTTTTATTAAATCAATCCCCACAGCTTCTACGAAACTTGTTAGTAAAGGCAGCAAAATATGTTCTCCCTAACGCTCCCTAAAAACACCTGGCCACTTTAGTCAAACTTTCCAAAGAAATCATTACCCTTAGGCAGAAATCTGGCACCAAGATTTTTCAGACTGAACAGTTCCAGTCTGGCAAAGGAACATATAACTGCCCTGACACTTTCCGTTCTGTGACACCAGTAGTCCCCCCTATTATGGGTAGTGACTCATTCTTGTACAGGTTAATTACGTTCCTATGCAAGGGCAGGATCTGGCCTACGACGTCAGCTTTCCAGCGGGTCTGCAAGCCGAGTCTTCTGCAGGCTCTGCTGCCCGCTGGGCTCTAGCAGGACCCCGAGGACCCCTGCCCATCACGGGAAGGGCCTGGGGCAGCCCGTGCTGCCCCGTCAGCCCCTCAAGGCAGCGTGGGGCCATGCTGGCAGCACACTGACCGCCCAGCGCTGCCAAGCTGCGGCAGGTACCAACTGGCCTTTGCCTGGAAACAGCTGGCTGGCCCCTGCCCACCCACACTAAGAGAGTAACTCTATCTTCCTCTGAGCAGTGAGGCCCAAGAGCTTCTGATGATTGTACCCCAAAACAATCAAAAGTTCAGAGAAGCAGCCTTCATTTCAGACCTCTATGCCACATTTCACCTAAGAAAACCTATTTAATGAATGCACAAAATATCAATACTTTTTTGGATTCCCTTCTGCAGCTGCAAATGCTTCTTACTCTGATACTAGTGGACTGGCTGACTGAATTACAAAGCCACCAGTTAACAGTGCAAGGGAACAAACATAACGCAACTTGCTGTCAAATAAATCTCCACAGCTGCCAGCCCCATTCTCCCTTCAGCTCGCGCCTCCTTACCTGTCTCGGATCAATGCGGGAAGATGGGTTGAGAGCTCTTTCTCATTTGCTGATACAGCAGGGGACCAGGGCCGGAAAGCTGAGAGACGCTGACGGGGATGGACACAGCCAATACTCTGGCAAGGAGGGGAAAGAAAAATAAATACGAACAATCTTTTAAACTATAAATTGCAATGGAGCGCTAGTGATGCTTCTCAGTACACGTTCTATTACCTCTAAAACTACTCCCCCACTGGCTAGGGCCTCATTATTTAGTAGAATCTACTGGAAGAGGTGAACTGCACTAACGTAAAACCTCACGTTTTTTCTTTGCCAGTAAGTTACGTGTAGTTTGCAGAGACCACAAAAGGCTCTTGAGTCTCACAGAATTCTTGTACCTCAAAGGCACGAGGGGATTGCTTATTTTGTTGTCAGAGTCAAGGTCAGTGAACACGGGAAGATGGCAAGAAAACTGGGAGGGCTGTATAACTCAATGGTTACTAGGAAAAGGATAGAAATGTTATTACTTTAGGAAACCTGGGCAAGTCCTCTCTCTCCTTTTCTGGTTTCAGTAGGGCAATACTACATGCTAATTTGATCTCCCTTTTCATTACAAAACATTCAGTAATCACCTTGTTAGATGAACTGGATAAGGACCGTAACCAACTGGACTGTTTTTCCTTCTCAGTAGAAGCTGGAGATTGGGAAGCGGAGTCATCTATTTTGGGCTTTTTGGAAGCAGGAGGATCTGAAGGGACCTGAAACAAAGACAGGCAGGAAAAATCAAAGACAGATTTACTCATTTTGCAATCAGCTTAGAAACAGGTTATAAGGCAAAAACAAATTTTGCATTTAAAAGAAAGAAACACTGGGGGTTTTCTGCTTTTTTAAACCTAAGGACAAACAAAGGAGTGAAAACAAGGGACAGACACAAACTATGACATAATGTGGCTTCATTCCTTCATTTAAAATACTTTGATAAAGTGTAGATGATGCAGGAGTGATAGGCAGTAATAGAAGTGAGACATTCACACCGTGTTGCAGAGAACTATCAGCCTTTTATTATTTTTGTATGCAGAAAGGTAAGGTTTAATGTGGTTGCTGAACTGGAAAGATTATTTTAAACGAGAACAGAACAGACTTTGTTATTCTGTTTGCAGTGGTTGTTATGCCGATGACTTCACTACCCCACAGCTGCAGTGGATTCTGGGGGTGCTGCCAAGAGCTGCTTTGCCTTTTCCACAAGTGGCTCAGCTTGGCCCATAAATCATCCTCAAGCATAAGAAAGCCCTTTGGCAAGCAAAACCCCTTTCCTTCAACACTGTGAAGGAATAAAATTCCTATAGTCCCAGAGTGGCTTGCAAAAAAATTGGTAACTACTGGTTTAACTGGTGCACTGGGGATACCAGCTTGAAGCCTTGCCAGTACAAACACGTCTATCAGTAGGGAGGGAGAAGGTTCTGGACCCTATGCTGCATCATGACTAGAAGGAATCAGAGAAACATACCTCCTTGGTTTCTATTCTTTCTTTTCTCTCTTTTTGCAATTCCAAACTCTCTACCTTTCCATGCTCCCATTCAACCTGTTTCTAAGGAAGGCGGCAGAACCATGCTGCAGTAACTAGTGATCGTTCATATTTGTATCACATTTTTTCATCCTTGCACCTCACTGTGATTTTTGTCAGCAAACAAGTATTTATACAGGTGTGTCTCTAAAACACGGGTATGGGCAACATTTTGAGAGCCTGAAATGCTTCAAAACCAGGTCTATTTGACAACGGAAGAAAGGATCTTATTTGCCAATCTCTAGTGTTCTGAAAATCAGTCCCCTTCAAGGTATCTTAAATTGGGAACTTAGAGGCTGCTTCTCCAGATGATTATTCAACTCCTGAAAACTGTGATCTAAAATGACTTCACCTGAAGAGTACATGAGGAACTGAAAGCAGTATTGTTAAAAAGCACTTCTCCAGATTCCCAACTGACTTCCAGACAAACCCAACAGCTATATAACTAGAGCAATGCCATCCCTTTTGCGCACATTAATTAGGAGGAAATTATAACCTCATGTCCACGAACAGTCTACTACTTCCATGGAAGCAGGGCAGTAGTGTAGAACTGTGGCTCAAACCGATGAGTATCTAGCTAACGCCAGTTCATCTGGCAGCACACACCGCTCTCACCGCTTCTACAGCCCAGTGTGCATAGTAACATAATCAAACCAAGTCTGGAGGTTTTAGTAAAACATTCCCTGGCACTCTGGAGCTCGAGGCAGCTTTCCATATGTAGCAGATGAAGAACAACGACATGGGTATGTGTATGTGTAACCCCAAGGACAAAATTAGCCCGTGCCAGTGCCAAATGCCAACTTCAATGGATTTGCAGAGGATTCTTTCGGCACAGCTTCAGGCTTCCCTAGGGTTGACTCCTGTAGTGGCTATGGCACAGTCCCTCCCATCTAACTCAACTAAGAAAAGGCATTTCTAAATGCTTTTTGGAGAAAATGCAGGACAATGCATTGGAAAAGATTTGTTTTTGCTTTCAGAGATGCTGTCTGTGCAGACTTAGTGACAGCATTAGAAAGGTATTTGGCAAGTGACTACTGATCCCAACCCTATCCACTGGGGATGGTGAGCTGTGCGGGGAGGGGAACTTGGGGTGGAGGGTGGGGAGGAAGGGGGGCTTGGAATGAAACAGGCAACAGGTGGCAAGACTCAGCATGGAAACCCGTTCCTCCCCCCGACCATCCGCGCTCTGCTGTCTGCAGAACATTCTGTTCAGGCAGGCGTGGAGACGGCCACCCTGGGCCGGCACCCCTCCGCCACGGGACACGCATGAAAACACGCAGCTCTGGGGAAAGGAGAGCAAGCATTAGGTTTTAGAAAGGTTCAAGGAGAGGTGTTTCAAATAGAATGAACTCATTTGCGTTTTGAAAGATATCAAGTCTCATCTCCAGCTTTTTCGACTTCCTTCCCCCTTCTTTTTCCCCATTCTTTCCCCTTTAAATCAAGGCTGGCACCAACGGTCAGGAGGGCTCTGAGCACAAAACATTTCAGTAGACCTGAGAAATGATGCTTAACCTTTTGTTGCCAGGAGCCAGTATTGATCTGAAAATATGAGCTGCTGCTAGGAAAAAAAAAAAAAAAAAAAAAAAAAAAAAAAAAAAAAAACCAACCAAGGCAGTAAACAAGGTGTGTGCATGGGGGCAAGACAGATTTGCCTTCCCACAAAGAGATGGAAATGGGGTTAAAAAAGGGGGACAGAAAAGCAAGTGCTAAGTGGGGCGTGCAGATTTTTCTAACTTCAAGTCATCTCCCACCAGAAGTCTCTTCAGTATTCCTCACAAACTAGTGCTGTCTAAAGTGGTAAAGCATTTCAGCTAGACTCCGAAAAGGACTGCTGGCAACATAATTTTTGAACTGCTATGATGACCTCTGCCAGTTTTCTTTCCATCCACTATCCCATTTTGTTTACACAGATCATCTGCTGGTTGAGGCAGGAATTGCCTCTCAGTACGTGCTTTAAAAAACCCACCATGTATTTAGGTTCCATTTTAACAATGTAAAAATGTAAGAGTGCTAGTAGTTTCCCACCTGGTCTGAGGCACCACATGTTGTTATTAGTCAAGAAATGGAGGTTGTCCTCTGAAACTCATGAAACAGAAGGCTCCTAGCTACTGCCTGGAGTCACTTGGTTAAATTTTTGCTCTGGTATACGTTTCTATCTGCTTGGACATCCCACTGAAAACATTTTTGTCCCCCCTCCACAGAAATACTGTCATGAACCCATCAAAAATTCCACTTATAAACATGCAAAGCAGGTCAGTAATGTACTGTACCGCACTCCTTGTTTTGTGCAGCCTCTTGACGCGGAGAGAGGCAGAAGCAGATTTGCTCACAACTGCAAGAAGATAGATGCGGAACAAGACTAGATACTGAACACAAAATCTTCTCTTCATATGACTCACCGATTACATCCCACTCTAGGACAGATTCCAGGCAACAATATACCCCACTCTGACACTTCCAACCCAGCCACAGCAGCCAGCAAACCTTGGTATCGGCTCAAATATGGATGATTTTATTTCATTTTCTCTTTGCCAAATAATGAAACATAAAAAGTTGCTAAAGAAATACTGAATATGTAACTTTTTTGCCATCTTCATAAATGACTTATGAAAAACTTGAACCCAAACCCTATAAGACTAAAGTAAGTATTTCCTTATTTCCTATTCAGTTTTTCTTCCATTGCAGGCAACTTAATAATTTGTTCTCGAATGGGCTTTGCGCTGGGCAAAGTGATTTGTTAGTACACATCTTCTCCGATCCACAGATGTAAGAGACTTCATGATACAAAGTGGGCCCAGAAATGCCATGTGAAACTTTTACTTAAGCTTTAACACTGTTGTTTTCTGAAGCAATTGATTTTTCAGAAAAAAACAGATACAGAAAGATTTATAAAGTTACTGAAAAAAATTTGAGAAGTACATTCCAAAGGGAAATTTGGACATGTGAACTTTACTGTCAACCATTTTAAGGAAAACTGAAATTAAGCAGCCCAATTTGGCCTCTAGCCAACCAGGGCCACTTTTGACATGTCAGATCAAATTTTCTACTTCAATTAAGTATTACAGTAACAAACCATGAGACCAGCAGAAAGAATTTTTGACCTTCTCAAATAAGACAAGCCTTCCCTAGTGCTCCGTGCCATGAATGGAACCAGCAGACCAGGCAAGTACGAGGTCAGCACAATATCTGAACGTTACTTCCCGTTGCAACACTGAATGGAAAATGAGCCCAGAAAATGTTCTTAAATTTTAAGATTTGGGAGTGCTCATGGATAGGATTCTGAGTATCTACCAAAGTACATCTCCTTAGGTAATTAACTTTTTTTTCCCTACCTTATTTCCAACAGTATGTAACTGGGATAAGTGAATGACTTTTGTTCCCTCCTCACTCTTGGCTTCGCTGCACCGGCACCGGGCACTCTGTGACAGGGCAGCTATTCACCGGGGATCAGCTAACACCAACACAAAGTGGGCAGCACTCCCTTTGGGAAGGACACACCACCAGTACAGTACAAAGCCTGCAATGTGGTCATGTCATTGGAACTGCAACTGGTCTTGCGCAACTGGCAGCCCAGGCCTACATAAATACATAAATAAATACATAAAGGCATACATTGCCAAATGTGTGCACTTACATCTTGTGTAAAAAACAACCAGCACTATTGAACAGGACTAAATCGCAGTGCAACCCCGTGTTCACAAAACTCCAAGGTCCCTGTTAAAATACTTCAAACTCCAGTGTGCTCTTTGTCAACCTAGGTTTTGCTATGTTGCTCAGCTAATGTGCAGTGATGCACGTGGTAGTGAAAAATAGGCTTCTTTTGCCTTGTTAAGAAGGGAAACATTAGGTGAAAGGAGTTCAAAATATTTAAGAAGCCTTCTGGCCTGTGCAACTTTTAGCTTAGAAATGTACCTTCAGAAAAGCAGCCCATGCTCCAAATTCTCATCTGTCCTCTGCCGATAAAATCTCCCCATAACTGGGTCTAAGTTTAGCATCAAATCCAAAACCTAATTGAAAACACAGATCGCTGTTAAAACAGGGTTAACGGCATATGTTTATCTGTGTTTATAACCTTTCCCATGCTAGGTGTGAATGCATTTCCACTGTGTGTGGTGAAGGATATGAGTGAAAGAATAAAAACTTCAGGCTTCTCTGCTCTTCTAAACTCGGTGATGCAGTGCCAGCCCAGTGCTG